CCCGGCTGGCCCATGCCCCACAGAGCTGGCTCACGCGTGGGCAGTGTCCGCTGGTGCTGGCCGGCGCCCTGCGGAGAAGAGCCCCAGAGCCCCCCTGGGGCAGCCTCTGTGGCCTTGGCCTCACCAGTCTTGATTTTTGAGCTGAGCCCACGTTGTCGCTGCCCGGGGTCCCCCAAATTATGCAGCCAGCCCCGACTGTGTGCGTGTGCACACACGTTGTCTTGTTGAGCTCAGAGAGTGCCCTGCCATGTGGGTGGCATCACCCCCGAGTGACAGCGAAGGAAAGCGAGGGCAGGGAGCTGCGAGACCAGCTGCAGCTGCCTCACCACGGAGCGGGTCACTGGGGGCTGACCCTACTGTGTGCTCACGCCCTTGGGTGTGGAGGGCCTCTGTGTGGGCCCATCGTGCAGGTGCTTGAACTGGGGGTACAGACACCACGGCCAGCTTGCTCCAGGCTGGCGTATTTCCCGGGGCTGGGGAACAGGGCGGGGAACGGGCCTCGGCCCCCGCGAGAGGACCCACCACTTGTCATTGTTGATCTGGTCCCCGAAGCCAGGTGTGTCCGTCACCGTCAGCTTCAGCTTCACCCCCTTCTCCTCGATGACTGTGGGGAGAGCGGAGGAGGGAGAGGTTGGACCGTGGGGGGCGGGGGCGGGGGCGGGGCTCACTCACCGTGGGTCACCGACTGCAGCTGCACTGTCTGGGGCGTGGGCACCCCCAAGCCCTGCAGGGTGGGCTTCCAGACCTTGGACCTGAACAGCGTGTTCACCATGGTGGACTTGCCCAGTCCGCTCTGCCCTGGGGGTAAAGACGACAGCAGTCACGGGGCACATCTGAGCATTTCTCAAACTCTAAAACACATTTTTTTAGAAGGAAAAAATATTTTTAGAAAGGAAGCTATTTGCTACATATGACAGAAAACACACACCACCGGAAGCGTCCCCTGCAAAGCCTCCCCATCACCGGGGTGCAATGCACACTGCAAGCAATGAGCCATTACAGTCTGCCGTGCAGGGCCTCCCTGGTGGCCAGGGGGTGAGTCTCAGGCTGTCACTGCCACAGCCTGCGTCCGATCCCTGCCAGGGAGTGACCCCAGGGCGCAGCAGACCCCACTGTCTCCCCGCTGCTCCCCTCAGCAGTGTTTCAGTAGAGCCGCCTGATCTGCTCCCCGCTGTCTCTGGTGAGCTGCCTCACCCCCCACACCTCTGACCAACATTGCAGTTTTTATGCATAAGTAAATAAATACAATTTTAAAATATCTCAAGCCTGCTGTTCACCTTGATTCAGTCAGCACACTGTATAGCCACCCTCCAGACACAGCATTTCCAGCTCCCTAAAGAGAGACCCACCCCTATAAGCAGTCACTCCCCTCCTCCCCTCCCTAGTCCCTACGAGCTGACCACTCACTGGTTCCTGCTTCTATGGGTCTGCCCCGCCTGGACATCTCTGGGCATGGGATTGTGCCATCCTTTTCCCTGGCTGAATAATATTCCACCGTTTGGTCAGACCACCTTGAGCGTATCCGCTCATCCCTCTCTGGCCCTTTAACAAACTGCACAAGCCTGATACACAGCCCCTACCCCAACCACACCCACCCCACTAGGCTCTCAGGGTCAGCCTCACCGTTGATTTCTATCAGTGGGGAGCAATTTGCCCCCCCTCGGCTTATGGAACCGCAGGGCATGTGTTCTAGGGTTTAGATTCCGTTCTCCCAGCTGGGGGCTTCTCAAACTCTGTGGCCCAGCCCCAGCGTGTGACAGAAAACACACCATCACAAGCGTCCAGCTCCATGCTTCCCCACCATCGAGATGCAATGCATACTGCAAGTCACCACACAGGACACTGTGGCACTGACATTGTCCTCAGCCCATGTCCTGGGTGAGCCACCGCTGGCCTCGCCGCTCTGGGCGGCCGTCAGCCGCGGGCGATGCAGACCTCTGCGCGCTCAGCAGGATAACCAGGGCAGACACCCTCAGGCACAGCTGTTGCTGTTGGTTACGAGTCTAGAACAGTGCACGGCTTTGCTTCCCTTCGCAAGGTGGCGAGGCCCGCGTTCCTTGCTCCGTGGCTCTGCTCCTGCTCCCGCTGGGCAGCGTCCTTCAGACTCATGTCTGCCTGGGTCTAGACATCCAGCTTTTTAGACTCTGTACTGCCCAGCTTATTCTGCCAATAATGTAGCTTTGACCATCCATGTTTTTTGTGCATTGATAAAAGGCAGCGCCAGATGAACTGACCGTGGGCCACGCAAATGCCAGGGACTGGGCTAAGCCACATGAAGAGACCTACCGAGGCGGAGTGGGGTCAGGGAGTGTGTCCCGGGTCACAGAGTGGTGGCCCTAAGGGCTGGGGCCAGGCTCTAAGTTGGGGTATTCTCCGCCTGATGCCACAGCCTCCCCTTTTATTGCTCTGCTGGGTTTGGTTGGGGTTTCATGGCTGCTTCCCAGATTTTCTGTACGTCAGCCCGAGGCGGTTTCACTCTCAGGCCCACTTACAGCCAGGAAGGCTGAGGATCTGAGGGGCGTGGCCCAGGTGCACGGGGTGGGGGGTCAGTGGGGCTGTGTCTGCTGCCTGGCCTGTTCTGTGACCCCCTCACTCACCCACCACCATGATGTTGAACTCAAACCCCATCTTCATGGCTTTGATCTTCAGCTGGTCCAGCACGGCCTCGATGCCCACATAACCGCCCAGCGTCTCGCAGGGCGGGGTCCTGGGGCTGGAGGGTCTAGATGACCTTGAGCAGGGGGACGGGGACCGCCTGAGGGGGTCCATGGTGCCGAGGCTACAGCAACGCCTGCCACCTGGGTGGGCAGCAGAGCATTGCTAAGGCTCCAGGGGAGTCCACCTGGACCCGGGGCTACATTTCCGGGCTTCCCATGTTGCATGTCCCCTGACCCATCTGCCCCCCAAGCCCCCAAGGCTCATGGGGTTTGCTGAGAGGTGCCCAGGGAGCTCCCCTTCAGGGAGACTGAGCCCCCATCCTGAGAGGCACCAGAGCAGGGACCCGCAAGTCACCCACCGTTTCCCCTGAACCCCACGTGGGGCCCAGGTAGGTGCCCGGCTCGGACAGCCCCGCAGCGTGTAGCTGGTTGGGGCCAACCCAGGGGCCCCGACCGGGAGCGGGGAGAGGGAGGGAGAACGCGGTGTCCTGGGCACCTGGTGGCCTGGTCCTGCAGGATCCTGGAGGCCTGCCCGCGTGTCCAGGCAGACCCCAGCGCCAGGGGGAGGGGAGGGCGGCAGTTAACTGAAGAATCTGAGCTCCACCCCCGTGACCTGCCGCCCGCCCCGTGCAGGTGAGCTGCTCCTGAGGCCCCTTTCGCAGGGCCCTGTGGCCCCCACGAGCTCTGACCCGGCGCTTGGGGGGAACCAGAGGTGCCCAGGCCGCTCCTGGCCAGGTCGCCAGCGGCTGAGCAGCAAGAGAGGCCTCAGCAGCCCCTCTGACCTCTACGTCAGGCCCCTCCCCCTCCGCGGGGACTCGCACCCTGTGGTGCGGCCTTGAAGGCTGGAGGCTGGCCAGCAGGTGTCTGCTCCGCTGGTCTGGACGTAGCTTTGTTC